TCGCCAGATTGGAGTCACAACCTCCGCCTCCTGGGTTCAAGTGATTCTTCTGCCTCACCCTCCCGAGTAGCTGGGATTACAGGCACTTACCACCACGGCCAGCTAATTTTTGTATTTTAGTAGAAACAGGGTTTCACCATGTTGACCAGACAGGACTGGATTTCCTGACCTAGTGATCCTCCTGCCTCAGCCTCCCTTTCTCTGTTTTATAAACACTTTAAGTTCTGCATTGATGGTAAATTGAATAGTGGCAGTAAAAATGGAAAGCTACATGACTACTTGTTTGTGATACATACATAATTTGAATGTAAAATGAGCTCTGGAATTCCATTCTGGTTACCAGGAAATCTCTGGTATACGCAAGGACTTTTTATAATGTTATCAGGTATGTTGGGAATTGAAATATTTATATAGGTTGTATAGATTTTAGAACTTAGAGTGCCTTAGAGAAGAGTTAATTCCCTATTTAAGATATTTGGTACTGTAAATAGAATATTTAATATCTGATTTCTTCTGTTAGGTTCTATCTTTAAGTTCCTGATTTAATTCAGTTAACTGAGAGAAATGTAATTTTGTTTTGCTTTTTTAAAATTTTACTTATTTTTTACTATACTTTAAGTTCTGAGGTACATGTGCAGAGTGTGCAGGTTTGTTACATAGGTATACACGTGCCATCGTGATTTGCTGCACCCATCAACCTGTCATCTACATTAGGTATTTCTCCTAATGCTATTCCTCCTGTAGCCCTGCTAGGCCCTGGTGTGTGATGTTCCCCTCCCTGTGTCCATGTGTTCTCACTGTCCAACTCCCACTCATGAGTGAGAGTATGCGGTGTTTGGTTTTCTGTTCTTGTGTCAGTTTGCTAAGAATGATGGTTTCCAGCTTCATTCATGTCCCTGCAAAGGACATGAATCCGTCCTTTTTTATGGCTGCATAGTATTCCATGGTGTATATGTGCCACAGAGAAATGTAATTTTGATTTCTTCTTTATTTCGCTCTTTCAATAAATATTATTTGACTGTCAGCTGCAAGAGTCTTCATGATAAAGCAAGTGTCTTAAGTTCCTGATTTAATTCCGTTAACTGAGAAATGTAATTTTGTTTTGCTTTTTTAAAATTTTAAAATTAAAATTAAAATATCGGGATTACCGATATTTTGGGCTGAATCATTCTTGCTTATATTTAGCAGCATCCCTGGTGCCAGTAACGTCACCCCACTGTGACAACCAAAAATATCTCCAGACAGTGTCATATGTTTCCTGGGAAGTAGTCATCACCCCAGTCCAGAAGCATTGATGGTAATGGGAAGGATCAGATGGGAGTTAGAGGTGAGGGTGGGAACGAGGCAAGGGAAGTGGCACTTGGGGTGGGAGATATGAATTAACTTGAGAGACATTATGAAAAAGAATAGAGAAGTCTTAATGGCTGGTAAATTATAGGGACTAGGGAAGAGGGAGGAGTAAGCAACAACTCTGGTTTGAGAAACTGGAGGGACTGTGGTGCTCTTACTCAAATTAAAAATAAAGGAGGAACAGATATGAAAGAGAAGATGAGGTCAGTTGCAGAGATGTTGGATTTGACTGAGGACATGGTGTTCCCTAGGAAGTAGGCTCAGGAGCGGAGTGTGTAGGAGTTAAGTCAGGAGTGAGAGGTGGATTTTGAAAGGCAAAAGATTACTAATTGACACTAGGGCAGAAAAGTGCCATTCACCTGCTAGAGAAAGGGATGAGCCAGATAATTAAGATGCAAACTATTTGTTCTGTTCGAGATTCTAAAGTATTCCACCAAGGTTAAGCAGAAATCAAAACTAACAAAACAAAGCAAAACACCAAGTATCAAAAACATTTCAGTATATCTTAGAGTCAATTAAGAGAGTGACGGAGTAGCAAGAGAGCTGAAAGAAGAGATAAAAGGAACTGAAATGGAATTCAGGCAGGTAACTGTGAAGGAGAGGAAGATTGTTCATTCATTCAGTGTTTATTAATTGCATTCAAATATTACATAATTTTAATTTCAAAAAATCTGGGAAATGCACATATTCTTATAACCCACTTTCTTCTCCAGCATTTGAGCATGAAAAGTTTCTAACCGGCCAGGTGTAGTGGCTCATGCTTAGAATCCTAGCACTTTGGGAGGCCAAGGCAGGAGGATCTCCTGAGCCCAGGAGTTTTAACACAGCCTGGGCAACACAGGGAGACCTCATCTCCACAAAAAAATTGAAAAATTATGGATATTACAGCATTCTGTGACAGAATGAGACCATATAAAAAAAAAAAAAAAAAGAGAAAAGTTTCAAACATACAGTAAAGTTGAAGGAAGTTCCCAGTGAACACCCATATATCTACCACATAAATTATATAATTACCATTTTATTATATTTGCTTTTTCACATTATCTGTCCATGCATCCATTAAAGTGTCTTATTTTGTGACACATTTTAGAGTAAGTTGCTGAACACTTAAGCCAACTACATCAGCATACATATTCTCAGCCAGAGTTCAATATTTGTATAGAGTTCTCTAACCTACTTTTACTAATTTAATTTTTAAAGTCCATTCCAATTTCCTTTGCAGGAAAATGGGTAGTACTTAATTTTATTTTACATACAGTTTTTTGTGACCATTTTGGGATGCTAACACTGAAGATTTTTATTGGCAATTACACTAGGATTACTCTAGATACGTAAATATAGAGGCTGGTCACATTTGCTGTTTCTCTTCTGTATCCTGGTACCTAGGATGTGGACAGGCATAAAGTAAAATTTCTAATTATCTACTAAATCTAGTTTTGCAACCACAGATATGATATTCTTACCTGATCAAATGGAATTAAGGTTAGGCCATGTTTCAGGCATCTTTGGGAACACTAAATAGCTCTTAAATAACAGGAAAGCTTTGGCAAAGCTTTGTAGTTTGCCTTTATGATATCCTTACCAGTCCCCCAAGAGGAAACTATGTAGTTTGTTTGTTATAAAGAATTTGTGGTCTAAATTTGCAGGCTCCAGTATTGCCTTTGCTGCTATGTGACCTTGGACAAATCTCTTAGTCTCTCTGAGCCTAAGTTCATACATTAAGGCTCCTTGGGTTAAGAATACATATGTCTATTTGATATCCACACTTGTGAGTTTCAAACGAGCCGCTGCATGCAATAGAGATTTGTCAACTGTGACCTGCTACACAACGGTCACCTACTGTTTCACATTCAGAGAATGTTAAAAAAAAAAAATCATCAATTCCTTCCCTCCCTCCCTCTTTCCCTTCTTTTGTCTTCTGCATTTCTAGAATACAGCACAGAAGAAAATAATAAGGAAATCAATAGTTCAGAATCAGAGATGTTCTGTTAAAGAAAGAGCAAAAATCAAGATTCAAAGTACCTCAGCACTCAAAGAAGCAGAAAATTCTAATAGCGGCAGGCAAATTGTGCCCTCTGAGGAGCCTAGATTCTGGAAAAAAAAGAGAGAGCAGTCTTGTGAAAGAGGTGAAACAAAGGCTTTTCATGTACTCCGGAACTGCTTGGATACTGGGATGTAACCCTGGCAAAGTTATTAAAGTTGATTTCTCTCAACCATTTACTCGAAAGGGCCACCTAAGGATAACTGGCTATCTGCCCTTAAATTACATTTATTTTTAAAAACATAGTTTGAAAAAGGATAGTAATCAAAGGCTTACAAGACCAACCATTTTCTGTTTAATTTAAAAGGCTGGCTCATAATATGCAGAGAAAGACTGCACATTTGCTTGCTACATTGAAGTTGCACAGTGTAATATATAGCCTTTCTCCTCCCTCTGGGTTACTTTAAAAATATTGATAAGTTGGATAGCTATTCCATATTTTCAAAGTGGTTATCAATGAACTTCTAACTTAAACAATTCTAGCACTTTTTAATGCCACTTTAATCTCAGTTTACTGCTTAAAGCTTCTGTAGATACCCATTTAAAAAAATTCTTAAAAACTAGGTAACTAAATTTAATAAACAATGAAAATAATGACAAAATGTTCAATGAAGAAAAAGGTTTATCCTGATATTGTGGCCAGAATGATAAGAAACTTTTAGAGGATGAAGTCTGCCTGGGAGGGTTTGCTTGGGAAAGTGGTAGTTTATAGCATAACATCTGATTTTGTGTGTTTGTGCCTTGGGTGCTTCCTCTCTGTCTTTTTCCTTTTTATAGGCTGCCACAATAGTGATACGTTTAATATTGATGAGTTTGACCTCCTGGGAGTTATCGTATATGCACCCTTTTTGAATACAAATGCTGTTTAATTTATATGGTAAACACATAGAATTTGGAGATTAGCATTTTAATCAACTCTAATCTCAGTATCTAATCTCAGTATTTTCTGCTTCCCGTACCTCTCCTTCTGAAAAAAA